AGTAAATCCCAAGTGTTTCTCCAATCACGATCTTTTCCAATTCAATCCCAATTTCTTTCTATTTTTCGCAAGAAAATCCCATGGTTTCCTGGTTTTCCGAGGCTTTTCCGGGCAAAATCTCCTGTGTTTTGTCGGACAGGTGAGCGCCGCCCCCGGGGCCCTTTGGATCGTAGCCCTGCCGCAGCCACACCTGGGCCCGTCTAGGCGATGTGGAGTTGGGGGGGTTCGGCAGAGGTTTTCCAAACCACCAATATTTGGCTGATTGGATAGGTAAATGTTACCAACTTGCAATAGGATGGAATAGGTAAATGATAAACTAGTAAATGTTAGCAACTTACTATATGATCTGGTTGGTGGTTTGGAACATGCATTTTATGACTTTCCATATAATTGGGAATAATGATCCCAAGTGACTAGTATTTTTCAGAGGGGTAGGTATACCACCAACCACTTTGGGTTTTTTGGGCACTTTGCCTATCAAATCACTGGGTTCTACTGTCAACACAGGAATCCAAAACGTTGGATTTGTTTGTGATATACCTTTTCTGGTTGGTGGTTTGGAACATGAATTTTATGACTTTCCATTCAGTTGGGAAGTTCATAATCCCAACTGACGAAGTCATATTTTTCAGAGGGGTAGGTCAACCACCAACCAGCTATGGATCCAGCTAGTACCTTCTGAAAGGAAGTGTGACTGGGGTGTGATGACGTTTCGGGGGTCAGCCGTACCTTCTCAGACACTGGCCATGGATCCATAGGGAAATTCTTTGTAATGTGGTTAAAACATGTTAAAACAATGCCATAAAACACCCATGACTGGGGATGGTTTATAGAACCTATATATTTATGGTGATGACTGGGGGATGGTTTATGGCATTGTTTTAACCACATTAATGTTTCATCCATCCCATCAACAATCAATCATTACATACTCATTTAATAAACAATAATGTGTATGATAGTATTTTGTTATTACATATGAATAATGTTTACAATAGTATAATAGATGTACTATGACAATAAATGTATAATGTTTGATAATGTTGTATTATAAGTATATGAATGTTAGAATATCATAGTTGATCACGCGATGTACTTTATTAATAATCATTCACTGCATACTAATTTACTGAACAATAATTTGTATAATTATAACCCCATTTTTGGAGGGGGGTTGAGAGTGAAGCGGTTCTTTGTGAGGCAATATGCATCCAATCAATAATCATAAACATTCAGAAGCTATCCCATCAACCAATGAAAAGTGAATTTGTACTGGTTACTGATGTGGGTTTACTGACGTGAATTTACTGTAAAACAATATACCATTCCATGAACATAGTAAATAATGAAAAGTTGATTTCTTTATGTCAATGGGAATTTCAGGATCCTAAAATGGAGGTACTGTACCATATAAGGCCATATTTTCTGGGGATATTCCCTTACATAGGCCTTACATAGGCCTTATATATGGTAGGTACCTCCAATCTAGGATCCTGAAATTGCCATTGATTATGTATCAAAGAAAATGGGACGAGGTATGGAATATAGAAACAAATTCATACAGATTTGGTATGTTTCTAAGCTGGGGAAAAACATGAAATACGTAGATATGAAAACGGAAATGTAAAAATATTCCCACATAATCATAAAGGAAAAGAAACCATAGCAATTATTCTATGTACAGTAACTGCAGTGGCTTACATGAAGTCATCCTGAAGTAATTAGAATATGTAAATGTCAAAAAACAAAACTAAAATTGGAATATCTGTACATATTTGGATGTATATAACTAGACCTTCCGTTTGTTTGTATCTATCCATAAAACTGTTGTCTTCCCCCACAGTTTTAATATTGTTTTTACCATTTTTTGATGGTATTTGGAGCGTCAAGCACACAAATATAAATATGTTTTACGGTTGCTACCTATACCATAGATACCCATGGTCAAAAGGTTGGGAATGTTCACCTTTTATGGAACGTACATTCAGTTTTAAGGGATTTCCCAGCAAACCATGTTTGATTACCGGATATATGTTCTATGAACATTGATGTATCCAACTTGGTTTGTATTTTCATAGGGATCTCTTTTTGTGGGTATCCCTGAGGTTTGCCACCAAAACTTGGCCCACTTAGTGAGTCACTGGATGTCACTGCCCACACGACATGTTACAGTCCCTGCGAAGGTAGAGCCGGATCCATAGAGTATAATAGTTGATTACGTGTATTACTGTATGTATAATTATGCATATATATATATATACTGATACTTTATAAATATATATATACATATCTATTTTATCCCATTCTATCCCCGGATACATCGCATTATATCTGAACAATTTCCAACATACATATATACTTATATACATGTTATATATACACACCATTATATCCCATGATATCCCATAGGTGCTGCTTGGATCCATAGGGATTACGGATTGCTTGATTCTTCCCAGTTTCGCCACGCCACGGCTGTTGGGCTCAAGAACTCCTCGCATTCCTCGTCCCAAAAAAAGAAACTGACGCCCCCATTGTTGAGGCCAGGGATGGTGCCTGTCACGCCGTCATGGGGAGCTCTGAAAAAGTGCCATTGGTTAGAAGGTGGTGCCAGTTGAAATCTTTGAGGGGGCCACATCACGGCAATAACTGACGGTTCATGGTAGATATAATATCAGTAGATTTATCATGATATATCTATAGTCTATAGTTACTACACTTTATCCTCAAACATCACTGGGCACCGCATTCTACCATCTTCTACCATTGGTTCACATTTTTTGTGACATGCGAATCAAATCTCAAGTCAGGCCATGAGTTTCCTGCGCGAACTGCGCATTTAAAGAGAAAGAGAGCAGTGAACCACAAAACCAATATAATTATAATGATGGTGAATAAGGGTAACATCTTCTTCATGGATTGTAATGGAAAATCAGGTAAATTTATGAATGGTGGTTATATAATTATCGTTGATAAGGGTAACATCTTGTTCATGGATTGTTTATAATGGAAAATCCTATAAAAATAGGTATCCCTATGGATCCAGCCATGCCTTCGACAGTGACCATGGAATCCAGCCGGGGAAAACATGGACCTCACGTGATGGTTTCAGAGTGACCAACAGTCGACCTCGAGCAGCAACTGAAGTTTTTGATCGAACCGTGAATGCTATGTACAGTCTGTTTGGGTGTGGTTGATGCGTATGATATATTTGGAACTATTTGGATATATGATATATGATATATATATATATATATTTAATCTTCAAGTTTGCTAGGGATTTATCTGATTTTTTTTGCCTCAGCCACTTTTTTTCCTTCCCATCACCCCGAAGTCAATGGAGCCGGTGTCCCAAAAGATGGGTATGTCGTGGTACCCAAGTGGTGAGTCTCCCACAAAGCCATCGAAAGGAAGGTTTCCTGAACCCTGAGGTACCCTGGGGTACCCCTAAACCATGTCCTTTGCTGATCATGAAATACCATCTGGTAAACGTTTACAGTTCGCGAACTGGAAAGATCCACCATCAAACAATAAAAGGTAGATCAACTATTTCGACTGGGGCCATTTCTTCAATAGCTATGTAACAGTCATTACCAGAGGGTAAACCATCCCTGGTGTTTTTGGGGCTTCCCAGAAGGATTGGACCCCAGAAGGCGAAGAAACTCCAAAATCATGGCGAGCTCGCGACGAGGCACGCCGCGGCAGGTTGGCCCAAGATTTTCCATAGCTTTTCCACTGATTTCATTGGGGATTTCACTGTAGAACTGGTGATTTTGCCTGGTGAGAAATCATGGAAGTCAACCAAGAAATCTTGGGTGATCTTGCGGTTTGACCAACAAAACTGGTGATATGATTTAATGATATTTAATGGCTGGTTGGTGGTTTCAAACATGTTTTATTTTCCATAATATATGGGATAATCCTTCCCATTGACTACTATTTTTCAAGATGGTTAAAACCACCAACCAGATGGGAATGTAATGGGATTTAATGAGAATCATGATGATATACCTTTTTTGGGAAAATCAAACATGGTTATCTGCTCACTGATTTTACCAGCTATGGACCTTCCATTTCGAGGATTTCATTGCCATGTTTGACTACTAGAGGGTAAGGGAAAATCCAAGAAAAGACGTGGTTTTTTACCATCGAATCTTGGGGTTTCCTTGTGGATGTTCCCTCAACACCATGCTCAGAGACGTGAAGATCAAGTCTCTTGGTTGCGTTTGCACCCAGCTTGGAACAGAATGAGGTCACTAGATGGCAAAATGCTGGAGGATTATACCAATACAGCTAGGGATATGAAAATCGGGCCACCAGATGCTGTGGACGAGAATAGCTAGCCATGTAACCCCTGACGTCGACTGTCAAGCCCCTTGGGCGTAACCCGTGTCGCTTGAGACGAATGCCATTTGGCTCTGCAAAATGCTCGGCAGATTCCGAGATTAGATGTGCACAGTCCCGAGGGTGTCACCATGTGTCACCCATCCAAGTCCAGATATATCCTACCTGGTTAGCCTTCTTGAACAACACTGGTTGGTGGTGACTGGAACATGAATAGATTATGACTTTCCATTCAGTTGGGAATTTCATCATCCCAACTGACGATTCGGTCCATCATTTTTCAGAGGGGTAGGTCAACCACCAACCAGAACATATCTATAGGTTGGGGGCGCTTGCATCCCATGGTCCCCAAGAGATCCAAAGATGTCATGTGTCAAGCCCCTGAACCATGGTGACGATAAGGAGGGGGGTGAATATGAATAAGGGTAGAGTTATAACACCATATTAAAACATAATATGTGGGTATAGTTACAATTTGTTATACCCTCCGGTTATTTGTTACATAGCCATGGTTTTTCGATGGCCCTAATCGAAATAGATGGCTTACCGAACTAAATAGCATGGGTGGATTTTCCATAGTGAACTGTTAGTCACAACCAGATGGTAACGATTTATAACGCATCCTCACATCTCCTCACCACCCGAAAACGTTCGTGACCATGGCTGGAGAGTGGGACAGCCTTATTGCAGAGGAGGCGGGCTGCGGATGCCACGGCTGGGGTTGGCCTTAACAATCGATTGATGATATGTTTTAGATTGTTTTAGATATTACAGTACCCCTTGGAAAATATCAATGTAGCCATGGAAAACCCATGAACACTGAAAACCATCATGTTTTTTTAGTGAGAAATCATTGAAATCATCTACAAAAGGGCCATTTTCCATAGCAATCTTTGATTCCCAGAGGGTACAGCTCCTTAAGATGGAACGGTGCACACAAACACACACACACACATGCCGCATGCCCGCGTTTGGCCCCATAAACCGGGGTCCAAGGTCAACCCAATGTGCCTATCTCTCTATGAGTTTGGGTTGGACTAGCATGGCTCAGGTGCAACTTCCAAGATAATCAAATATATCCAGGGTATTTGTGGGCGATTGGCAGTCCTTTGGGTTGCTGGGTTGAGTCCCGAACAGAAGATTTCCATGGAAACAGATGACTTGGGCGGCTCGTCCAATTCTCCGGGTGATTCTCAATTGGAGTTCGCTCTCGTTCATATTCGAATCGTGGTTCAAATGATTTGATTTTTTTCGAATCATATTCTCATATATTCTCAGTGTTCACAGACGTGCCACAGAGTTACTTGAATCGGTGACTCACAAATGTCGCTTCGGTTGTTTTTCTCGCTTCAGTTCTTCAGTTCGCTTTTTGCGCAGGTGGAGAACTCGCATGCGCAGAGAGAAGGCCGGAAAGGCCGGAAACTGCTCCAACAGGATCATGGGGATAGCCATGATGAGAAAACACATGGGCTTATATCATCCAATATGCTGGGGAGGTTACCCGGCCTGGTAAACGTTAACAGTTAAAGCTATTTGGAAAATGGCCCAGTCGAAATAGTGGATTTTCCCAGCTATAAAATGGTGATGTTCCATAGTTATGGAAACGTTTACCAGAGGGTATCACAATTCAACTGTGAAATCCAGAGGGTGATTTGACATAGCTATGGTATGAAATCCTTGGATGTCCCTGGAAATGTATGTTTGTCCATAGCTATGTTAAATTACCTGAAACAGAACAAAAATGTGGATTTGATTAAGCAATAGTGACTTTTGGTGAGATGTCATTGAGATATGTTTCTGGATTTAATGAAGAACGTATAGTTGGATGTAATGTGATATAATGATACTTTTCTGGAATGCAGAAACAAGAAACATGAGGTTAAGATCCAACAAACATATGGATTTTCTTTGGGACAATATTGGAATATATTTGAATATTTTACAATGCGTGGGATATTTTATATGGACAGCATCTATGACCGAGCATCTACTTCAAGCATGACTCTCTGACTCTCGAAAGGAGAGATTTCTTGGTTGGGCGCCCCAAAGAGTTTGTTACGTACGAGTAGTGAGGGGTTCTCCCTATCCAATTGCGGACCATTGGAATGACTGTCAATGATCTACATTTGCGGAAATCCACGTGTGAGTGTGTGTGTGTGAAATTCCGGGTATCTTGGTCAATTCTCCACTCTAAAGTTCTACCTGCAAGTGCGGAAAGTCCAACAAGATTACTGGGACAGTGATATTGATAGAATTTGTACCTTGACCCTGAAACTAGGAAAGCGCTTTGGTAGATCGCTAGCTGTGATCTCTAGTGGCAACGGCGCCCAACTGTGGATGAGTTGACAAATGTCCACCTGAGAGTCCCACTTGACAAAGCTCTCGAACAAAACCCACCCAAGGTCGCATCTTCTCTGATTTGACATGTGACATGTCATAATATTTTAGTAGCAGATTTTTAGATTACTAGGAAGTTCATAGAGAAACAAGAGGTCCCGAGGTCGCAGAGATTCATGTACAGATCTTCAGCAGGTTTCATCACTTTTCACCCATGTTTCACCCATGATTTCCCAGGAGTAGCTGTCCTCCATGAATCATCCCCAATGAATCCCCTCAGCATGGCCAGGGGACAAAGATCCTGAGGTTGGGCATCCCCGGAGTGGAAAATCCCACCGGAGTTGCTATGAATTTTGTCAGGATGGAACCTCGAAACAAAAAACCTCTGGGAAAGATCCACCATCAAACTAATAGGTACATCAACTATTTCGACTGGGGCCATTTCTTCAATAGCTATGTAACAACCAGAGGGTAACCAGCAAAGTCAGTAGGGTCTAGATCAGTAGGGTCTGAATACCATCCAGACAGTCCAGATGAGATGAGAATTGATGAGAATTTTTAGTTGTGGACTATCAATACGTTCGACCAAACATGGGTGGATTCCTCAGTCACGTATTTTCCGTAGAAGTTCCAGAGGTGACAGGCCATGGGATATGCAGATATGGGATTTGAGCACCTCTGAAAATGGGGATGAAAAACCAGTTTTTTTTATGGGGATATACCCTCTGGTTATTTAACATAGCCATGGAAAATCCCTTGTAAATGGAGGTTTATAGCTGGGAAAATCATCTATAAATGGGCAATTTTCCATGGCTATGTTAAATAATGGGGATATAACTGATTTTTGGGTGTGTTTGATAATACGATGTACAGCCCAAAATGGTAACTTCATGAGGAAATGATGATGAATCAGTGGATGGAATGGGGTACCCTATTCTTAGACAGACTAGAATATTTTTGAAACGACAGAAATGTAAAATCCGACTGAAGTGGAGGTAAGGAAATTACTTGTCTATCTGTTTGAGGCTTTCTTGGAATGATTCGGAGGTGGGAGGGTGACCTCCAGTTTCTTTCTACCCTCTGGTAATTTAACATAGCTATTGAAAATTGCCATTTATAGTGAGTTTTCCCATTAAAAATGGTGATTTTCCATAGTTATGTTAAATTACCAGAGGGTATCTGGAAATTTGGGATTAATATGGATTATAATCAGATATGGCAATGGAATTTCACATGTTGTTGCAAGATTGAGATTGGGGATTGTCCATCACAAGGTCAGATTGCCAGTGGGGGCCCACTTGGATTGTGACCAATTTGAAGCCAACATCACCAGTGGATAGCAGTGGTCACGTGATACTGATAAGCATTCGCAAGGTCATGTTCAGCAGTGTTTACAAACTCACCAGCATTTTCAAGGATTGTCCATTACTATCTGAACTATGGGCAGTCTCAAACATAGGGGTACCCCCAAATCACGCTTGCGTCATTGTGCTGTGAACATAGGAAGCTCATGGTTTTTAAGGTATCCTCCACTTGGGGATCCCCGATCCATCCAGCGTGCCAAATGCCCAAAATCAGAGGCCTCTCCGGCGCAAGAGGCTCCCAAGAAAGCGGAGCGCAAAGCAGGCGACGGTTTGGGGTTTCATCCCAACTGGTTATGGTTGATAAGCCTGGAGATCTTAAGTCCCCTAAAGTTCATTGCCCCACGCATGAGGTCGGGTGCTCCAAGCAGGACTTGAAAAACCGTGTTTTCTGTTGTTTTTTTTCAGAAATGAAAGATGTTGTTGAGTATACACATCCCTAAGCATCCAGCCATGCCTTCTTTTATGATGACTAGGAGGTCAGCCGTACCTTCTCAGTGTTGGATCCATAGGGCGTAGTGTCACACACGGGCACGTAGAATTATTAAGACTTCCAGCCTGGTGCTGATACCACACCAGGGGGATCGCTGGAGTCGACAGATTGGATCGATCTCACAGCAACAGAGTGGGACGACCCATTGAGGCGAAAAGGAAGATGAACTACTTGTTTGGTGAATGGCTGTCGCGCTTCTCAGTGGGGATTGAAAAAGCGGTTTTTGGTTGAAACGCCGCCTCAGTGCTATAAAACTCCCCCTCATCAGCGCTATATTCCCACCTGGTTATTTAACATACAGTAGATGATTTAGATTTAGAATGATTCGCCCATTGAAACATGATGATTTTAATACAATTCTAGCAAGTGCCCTTTTGTTGATCAGCTGCAAAGAGTGTCGGCCAAATACCCAGTTTCCTGTTGCTTTGGAGCAAGTGTTTACCGCTGGTTGAAGCAACCTTTAAAGTTGTTCAGCAACCCTGAAATAGATAGAATAGTTATAACTAAGTTGGAAGCCCTCGAAAATCTGCAAATCTGCAAAATCCCAAATCAATTTTAAGATGTGAAACATGGTCAAGAGTTGGATTTTGTTGGCATTTCTCACCCCTGGCCCCTTCGATCATCTTCGATCACGCCACCGGTGCTTGGGACGATGGGTCGTGTAGTTAACTCTACGGGGTGCTGGTCATCAATCCCTAGGGATTTTGCATCGGATTCTGGGGAATGGGATGACTGGGATGACCATATGGATACGGCCACAAGCCAATCAACCCACAGGTGCTCCAGACTTGCGCGAACTACGAGAGAAGGCTGCGAAGCCCTTGTCCAATCCGTCCCATGGTTTTTCGATGTCGTTTTTTTTTGATTGGAGGACCATGAATCCCCTGAATGAGTGGTTTTTGTTGCATCGTGTCACCAGTAATCGCAAGTCCCTGATGCGTCAGATTATCCATGGTTATCCCATATGTGGGATGATTTTCCATGCCCCTGGAGATACTCATTACAAATCGTAGATGTTTGAATGGAAAAAACGTTTGTAAATGGGGGGATTGTCCATTGCCATGTGTGAGGACTGCAGGGTAACACATGTTTTGTGTATTTCTGTGTCATGTCTGCATTGCTTTTGTTGATTATTCACCCCCTTCCAAAATGAATTAGTGGTCAGCAAAGTCAGCTAGCTATTTCTTCCAACACATGATGTTTTGCTGCTTAGATCATTCACTAGTTGTGGGTTTTATACTGTGAGTCTTGGCTAGATACAAAACAAATTGCAAATTTTAAGAAATGAATGGCTTAATACCAACGCTGAAAAAAAGGGCAGTACATCATACCAGCAAGGAACATCATCTATAGATCCAAATATTTCCTGCGAAGGTACATCTGGCAAATGGCAAACCAAATTATAACCCAGTTACGCTGCAGGAGGTGATTGGATCTATAGGACTCGAAATTTCTGCCCAAATGTGCAGCTCCTCCTCCCTTTTTTGGCGAAAGCTGCCAAGGTTTTCCGGCCTGAAACCCTGTCCCGCCGGGGGCTACGAGTTTCGCACGGGGCATTCGACGAAGTTTCCAAAGATCGAGCTGCAAGTCCAATGGCTGAAGGGTGGATGTTCTAAGGTATGCCTTCAAGCTTCGCCAAGTTGGGGTTTATGGCAGATATATCTATAGTATTCTATAGTTACTATGGTGTATAAACCATTTTTGGTGTTGGGTTGAGTGAAACTCCATTTTACTCTTGAAAAATGATAGGTAAATGAAAGGAATATCCATGCGTTCTTGTTGAGTTGGTTGCATGCCCGTTCTGATTGGTTTTTTATCCAGAGTTTTTGCTGTTCAAAGCCACTGCAACCATATTTTGTTTCATTATTTTCGTCGGTCTCAAACTAGGTGAAAAAATCACAGTTCTTGTCGATAAAACCGGGCATCCTCATGAATTTTGTCATATCCCCGTCTTCCGTGGGTCATGAAGACTGCACGGTTTCTTGTTCAGCAAAGCTTCCTTCTCAATGTTCATGGATGAAAACGAAAACGAATCGACTCGATCCTTGATCCGTTTTTAAAACGTGAAAACCGCGAATGTTTTTCAGTTGAAGCCATATGTGTTGTCCGCATCCCAGTTTCGATTGGTTGATATTCCCAGTTTTTGTTGGAAATAGCTCCACTCCTTCCTTTCCAAGAATACAGTTCCGGATGATTTGATGAATATCCAAATTTACATATCAAATCCCTAGTCTTTTGGTTGGGATAAATGACCTACGTCTGGCCAGGCCAGTATATATTTAGCCATTAACTGTATTTATATATATATATATATATGTCTAAGATCAAAAAAGGTGGTCGCATCCCGATGTTGGCTGGTTAAGCTCCCCAGCAATGTTAGTTATCTCCCTTCCAAAAAAGGTTAGCTCGTTCATCAAGCTGCCCAAGCTCCGGCTGGTGAGTTCTGTTCAGTTTCAATGGTATCAACCTATCCATTTTGTGTGTGCTTTATAATGGCTAGCCCATTATCAAATTCTAATTACTTAAGCCACCCCAACTTCTTGGAAAGTGGCTTCTAGTTGGTCAATGATAAGATCCCCGAAAAAAAAGGAACCCATATATAGCTCATCTTATTTGGAAAACATCCCGATGTGTGCTTTGTAAATCATCATTTAATTTGCGGAAAAAAACCATCGAACCCAACGTGATTACACCATACTATATGGTTATAAAAACTCGAAATTTCGTTGGTGGAGTCAATATTAAATCCCTTTAAATCCATTTTTTCATCCATGAAGTCATATTCAATCCCATCATGTGGTTGAGTCAATTCGCCACCCAGTTCTTTTCTTATTGAAAGTCAACTGTCCCAGAAAGGTGGTGTGTCAGGTGGAGAAGGATCAGTTGGTTCATAACTCCTCTCAGATGCGGCACGTGGATAGATCGAAGTAATTGTTGGATGGGTTGACATTAACAAACATAACTATAGCTATAACTAGATCAACTATATTCAACTATGGTGTATGATTATTAAAACCTATGGCCCATTGTTTATCCATTAAACAACTAGTGAATCATCATTGTTTCTGTCTTTTTCCACACAACATGACAATTTCTATAGTAACCATTAATATGTTCCCATTAAGATGCCTATTAATACTCCATCAAGTCCCAGTTGCATTCCATTAAATTTGATTAAATCCTATTTAGTTTCCATGAAGATTCCCATTAACATTCCATGAAATCGCATTGATTTTCCTATGCAACCCTATCAGTCCTTCTGAAATCCCACTAAATCACCATGAATTCTCAATTCCCATTGTTTAAAACATGGTTTACCCATGGTTCTCCCTATTCTTTTCTCCTTTTATCGCATCTTTGAGGCCGGCGAAACGGACCTCCAAGCGGCCTTCCGGGTGGCTTCCGAGCGACGCGACGTCGGCCGCGCCGCCTTCGGCGATGGCACCAAGTTCGTGGCGGCGCAGGAGGCGGTGGACGCACGGCACGGCCATGGCCCGAGGGCACCGAAACGGCGGCGCCCGGGGAGTGAAAAAACACGTTCTTTTTTTAGTAGAAAAATTCATGGATGAGTGAAAAAGCATGGAATATCCATGGAATATCCATGGAATATCCTTTCATGGGTGATATATATATATATTTATTTAATCCTCTCTCCCTATTGCTAACACACACCCCCTCCCCAAACGGTAAACGTGGTGATTTTTTTTTATCATTAGGGGGTATTTTGCATTAGGATGCCCCGAATATTCCAATGAAAACCCTAATAACAAAAATAGATCTAACTTTTATTATTAGGGGGTATTTTGTATTAGGGTGCCCTTGATATTCCAATGAAAACCCTGATAATAAAAATACAGAAACTCGATTTCAAATTTGATTAAATCCCGTTTCAAAATCTATATAAAATGTTGCCAAAAACTGGATTTCGATGCTTTCCCCTAATATTCCAATGAAAACCTTAGTAATAAAAATAGAACATAAAACTTGTGAGATGGGACTCTAATAAAAAACCTCCGGGTGGCAATCTATTTTTATTAATAGGGGGTTGAACCCATTGTTTCACCATCCTGTTCTCCTATGGATTCTCAATTAGCACATAGAAGAATCCAATTGTGCCCAACCAAAAAAAACGGAAGCGCCACACCAATCCTGTTTTTCTTATTTAAGTGAGTTTTAGTAATAGGAAGAAGGGATTAATATGTATATATTTAATGGTGAAAACATGTTATGCTGTGAATTCAAAGCCATACGTGGATTGTTAATGTATGATTGATTATCAATGGATTACTGGTTGGTGGTTTGGAACATGAATTTTATTGTTCCATTCAGTTGGGAATTTCATCACCCCAACTGACGATTCGTCATATTTTTCAGAGGGGTAGGTCGTTTCAACCAACCAGATTAGTAAATGGATATCCCACTCAAATTTTGAGTAAATAATGTCATCAACCACGAATAGAGCAATGTCATAAACCACCCATAATTCGATGGAATATACCACCTATACGTATTGTAAGTTGGGGATGGTTTACTATAGTTTTACTAACACTACAGTATGGGGTATATGTTCAATGGGATATAATGGAATATATATATATATTATATATATACATACTATGGTGTAAGTAGGGGGGAGTTCAGCGTTTTCAGCATCAACACATATAAATTATGGGATTTAATGGATACAATGGTGATAGAATTGTGATGTCTAGTTGGAGAATCAAACATTGAACATGCTGATAAGCAAAATATATGAAACACATGGAAATGCCACACTTACATATATATACTGTATATACACATAATAAAAGATGATGCATGGCTGCATGGTTTGTATTCACCACTTCCAATCTGTCACCAAGTGCACAGTCACAGCTCAGGATGCCTGGGGCCAGGGCTTATTGGCATTGCAGCGCTTGAGGAATCTGAGCGCTCGCGCGGTGACGCAAGACGATGAGAACGCCTTGCTCCTGCTGGACACGTGGGACGCGGACGCCATGGGGCGTATCCTGGACATATTTTGAGGTTGAAAAAAGTAGGTTAACCAAGATGATGGATACATACTTATATATCTAATCCCATCCTTCAAAAAAGAACATTCTATTGTCCCAATGTGGAAATTCCCTACTAAACCATGGTGACTCTGGGGGTTAGAAAAAACTTATGACGTTTGCTGGGCCCTGTGCACGCCGGAGAAGTAATATCATCCCGCAAATTCCAAGAGTTTGTCGTGATGTTTCCCATTTGTTGCATGGCAATATGTATAATATGATGTGTATATATACATATATATATATCATGTTTCAACATATTTATTTGGGGAATCATCCCCATAGCTGGCCTTTTTTGAGATTGAAGTGTTACAAATCCCATTTGCCGGTGCAAAGTTTACCACATCTCATGGTCCCAAAGATGTGATGAACAAAAAAAAATACTGAACCATGGTGACGATAAGGGGGCTGTTGAATATGAATTTCTTACATCCAGGTGCCGCATAGTTAGCTAAGTTGGTTAAAACGAATTATAAGTCCAATAACTCATGATTATGCTAGATATATCGAACTAGTTTCTATGGTTTATAAACCATCTCAAACTAACGATTTGTAAAGATATGTGATTTATTGTTGCTGTATTTATGTTGTATATATGAATTATGTGTTTATTCCAGGATATCATATACCTCATATACTGGTTGGTGGTGACTGGAACACGAATGGATTATGACTTTCCATTCAGTTGGGATTTTCATCATCCATCATTAACCATTAACCATCATTAACCATCATTTTCCCATCATTTTCCCATCATTAACCATCCCAACTGACTGATGCTGGTCACCAGGAGGGCAGCCAGCCTGCGGAGACGGTGAATTCTCTGGAGGTCGTGTTGCGCCTCAATCTGGCGCAGGCCTTGATCAAATTGATGCCTGGCCAACCTGGAGTTTCTTGCTTCTAATAGGGATGTATATAATATATATATATATATGTATATATATATATATGTAAGTAAAAATATCCCTATTATCCCTATAATTATATTTTTTAGTGTATATATATGTATATATATAGTGTATATATAGATATACATATGTTTTAGTATATATATACAGCTTTTATATATATATAGTATATATATACACAATATTATATATACTTGTATATACTAGTATATATGTAAGAAAATGGGAATTCCTTAAGCAAAGTCATGGTAATCCAACTTTTGTGATGCTTGGCTAAATGGGTAAGCGCACAAAAAGATGTGGACAAAAACATTTGGAACACCTAGGAAAATGATGGATGTTCTATGGAATACCCTCTGGTAATTTGTTACATAGCTATGGAAGCCATGGCTCATAGAAATAGATGGTTTACCCATCAAAAATGGTGATTTTCAATAGCTATTTTTTATAAGTTGGTTTAGATTCGCCCCAGTAACTATAGTTATTTGCGTACCATAAACCATAGTGAAATTGGAGTTATGTGAACCCCAACTTAGCTATCGTAAACGGGGGCCTCACATTGTAGAGCCAGCTGATTTCCGGATTTCTTGATGATGCCAGCCCCTTTTCGGCGAAGACACAGGCTCCCCATGTGAAAATGGGGAGCCAGTTGGAGCTACGAATGGAGATTCACCACAGAAACAATGCAAAAACCCAGTGATTCCATCAAAATCAGGATTTCATCTAGGAACAGTGAGATTTTATATATATATATATAGCTCCAGCATGGATTTATGTTAGCAAGGTTGAAGAAACTAGATTAACTGGTTGGTGGTTTGGAACATTTTTTATTTTTCCATATATTGGGAACAATAATCCCAAGTGACTAATATTTTTCAGAGGGGTAGGTCAACCACCAACCAGCTATAGCTATATCTACCATAGACTAGAAACCTATAGTAACCAGCCATGGCTATATCTATGGTATATCTGGTCTACCAGCCATTAGGTTACTATAGGTATCTTCCTAGTTACTAGATTCATGTTATTTTCTATGTTACCCAACAGTTGGGTTATTAAATGTTTACTAGGTAACTAGTAAATGTTACTAATCTTCCTAGTTACTATTTTTGGTTCATGTTCTTTTTTTAAACAGCGATTGCCTATGTTGGGTTATAGATACGAGATCTGATACGAGATCTGCAGCGAGGACATACATCCCAGGTCACGACATGCCCTGCCCTTTTGGATTGGAAAAGGTTGGTACCCCACATTACCATACATTACCCACATGATAGATTTTACTTATGTTGATTCAATAGATTTTTGATGATCTCCAAGTTTCACTTTTGATGTTCAACTTATTCAAACTTATTCAACCAACCCTTTTGGGTGTAGTCTGCGACACTCTTTGTGGCTGTATCAATCACAAAAGTAAAACCTAAATATGTCAAAACAAAAACTGGCAAGTTTTTTTTTAAAGACAATGATTAACCACCTCTAAAACAGTTTCAAACCATGCATGGTTGATACTGCGGAAGCAAACATTGTTTTTTTATGTTTTTTTCATCAGCTTTGGGATCAGCATGAAAGCGTAAGGCCAGATTTGCTGAACATAACGGTACCTCATTTCTGGGAAAAAAAACGATGGTAAAAAACATGGAAAAAGCCACGAATCTGGATGGTCACCATGGTCCAAGGAGGCAATACGAGAACGCTGTCTGCCAATGTCAGGGTGCTTTGGAATTGGCGCTTCGGGCCGAGAAATAATGGTGCGCTTGGGATAGGATAAGAAGCTGAGAAGTTTTCGTCAGACGCTAATTGGAGCGTTCAAAGATCCGCACACCACATGGATCTTCCGATTTAAAATATTGGAGCTAGAATTTTATGTTTGTTCAAACATCATGTTTCTTCAAACATAGTATCATATATTTTAATGAAAAATATATTTGACACATATAGCTGAGAAGCTAAGATAGGGCCCTTCACGTTCTATCTTTCAGGGAAGCTGGGGGACCTTCAATATGGCAGCCTGTCTGTTCACGGATGGTATGTTTGTTAAGTGTATTTTTTTTGTTTTTGGCATATGTGAAATGAGGACAAATTGGGTTAATGTATTTTATAGCATATGTTAGTGTATAGAATATGTGAAATGAGGAGGAATTGGGTAATGTATTTTATAGCATATGTTAGTGTATAGCATATGTGAAATGGGGACAAATTGAGGAATTGGTGGAATTATGTGGAATTGGTGTACCAAAACATGGATGGTATGGGGGATATCCGTGACATAGCACCATCCCCGGCTCAAAACTCGAGGTTGCGCATAGTACATAGAAAAATTACCCGGCCTGGTAAACATACAAAAAGCTATTGAAAATGGTCATAGAAATAGTGAGTTTTCCCATTAAAAATTGTGATTTTTCATTGTTTTTTGTTAGTTTACCAGAGGGTACATCAATATGTCACCGATCAGAGTTAGTTCAATACCAGAACTCCAAAAACGATTGGTCACACATTGACGACTCCTGTGTTTGCTGAAGGTGTTTGCTGATGTTCCCATTGATTAATGCAATGTTTGGGGAATCAACCGAACATTCTATCTGTTTGTTTTAGAGATTATCACAGTCAAGAGAAACATGAATCGGATTTATTTATACTGGTTGGTGGTTTCAGACATTTGTTTATTTTCCATAATATATGGGATAATCCTTCCCATTGACTAATAATTAATATTTTTCAGAGGGGTAGGTCAACCACCAACCAGTATAGATATGGAAACCTCCGAAAGGGTTGGTGCAATTCTACCTTCAAGTACTCTAACATGGCTTGCTGGAAAATCCATCATTTACAGATGATGTTCCCAGCTAGAAAGCTTCGTTATAAATTATGTCCCACCCATTCATCCATCCATCCATCCATCCATCCACCTGTACTCTAGTGATAGAACCACTTTATAAATATCTATGATCTATCGTTTCTTCTTATAACATATTGTAACCTATTAATATATTATTATACCAACATGATAAATTGATACCATTAGATACCTAGATATGACTATACCATTAGATATCAACATTAATCAACAATGATCTGACGAAAAACCATTAGAGATACTTCCAAAGATTAGAGAGTGCGTGTCACCCGTAAACAATGGTCATCCCACAAACCGGGGCCCCTTTAATAAACGGCTCGTGAACGCCCAAGGATCCCTTGAACCTCAAGGCCCTCTGGCGCAAGGCCAAGGCCGTCTGGGCCTTGCGCTGCCCTGGCGAGGCACGAGAGGCGAGGATCCGATCGATGGATCGATGGCGATGGTGGTCAGTGGGGCCCGCTGGGGGCTGGGACTAACACAAAACTGGAGATTTGTTCATGTAAGCAGTTCATTAATGGTAACAATATGGTTATAACTATGGTTATATTACTATGCTTAAGAATATGGTTACAAGATATATCTATATATATATGAGATATATCCTTGAGGGATTACATATATATATATTTATTTATTATTATATGTATATACATAGTATCCCTATCATACCTATCATAGTGGTTTAATGACTACCTATCATTAATGGATTATTAGTGGATATATAATAGTTAATGGGGTTTACAATGGGATTATTCATTCATGGGATTATTAATGTGATTATTGGTGGGATATGAATGGAATATATATTGATATATTGTACCTATGTATCCAGCGGTACCTTCTTAGGAAGTATGACTGGGGTATGATGACTAGGGGGTTTGCCGTACCTTCTCAGTGTTTGGATCCATATAGGGAATGTATGACATGGGGATCGATCAAACCCTATTACTACCATATGTATGACTGGGGAATACACATCCGGAAAATCTCAGTTATTTTAGAATAGCTTTGGTGCCAGGGTTTTGACTCATAGCCATATATCTGTCTAGTCTCTAGTTATCTAAAACATCTATATGAGTTAGATATACTTATTTGTCATATATATATATATATATATTTATTATATTATATTATGTTATATTATATTATATTATATTATATAGATATTATATAGATATTGTAGCACTACTGTTTTGAATATCTAATTCTGTCTAATTAATTCAACGCCCAGTACGGAGTAAGGGAATATGGGCATATCACGTTCTTGGGAAAATGATCAGAAACCATGGGTTACAGGGGGTTCCCGGGGTTCCCTCTGGTAAACTATGGAAAGATCCACCATTTTCAATGGGAAAATCCACTATTTCGACTGGGCCATGTTCAATAGTTATATAACAAATTACCAGAGGGTACAACTATTGTGGTTTTTTTAAGTCATTCAACCTCCAGTAATCAAATATTGCAATGATAAATTCATATTTAAATTCCCATGTGTAGATGATTACCCATTCCAACAAAACCATTTTTTTCGGGGAATTCCTATATCAAGCCATGTTGAACCATAAGGTACCTAATGATCACGGCTTCACCTCGCCCAAAAGTGATGGTTGGGAAAAAATGGACATTACCCGAAATGGTAAACGTTAACAAAAAACGATGGAAAGATCCACCATGCTATTAATGGGAATATCCACTATTTCGACTGGGCCATTTTCAATAGCTTTTTGTATGCTTACCAGGCCGGGTATCCCAGAAACGGATTAGATATAGGATGGCTCAGCCTCCCAAAATGATCAAACCAGGATGGCACAGCAACAGAGGAAGAGCTTAAGCAACTAACATGCGGCGATTGAACTGCTGCTGGTTGGTGTTTTCAAACATGGCTTTTATGTTCCATAATATATGGGATAATCCTTCCCATTGATTAATATTTTTCAAGATGGTTAAAACCACCAACCAGGCTGAGTGTTTCAGAATTTAGGCAGTCAAAATGGGAACCACGCACCTGCTGTCAACCTTTTGGTTCTGCAAATTTGACTCATACCATTGGAAAACGGTGTTCTGTTTCTCAATATGTTGTATTTTTGTTAGCACTTCTCAAACTGCAGAATGGAACATCAATTTGAAAGTTTTTCTGTTTGCCATTTCAATCTGAAAGTTGTAATGCAAAAGTTGCCCATCACTTGTGAATGGTATGTGAACGTTCAACATGATCTTCAAAGGTGCAAATTCCCAAGAAATGATATGTTTGCCAGTTTCAACCGCGGATTTTCTCATGACATGGACCACTTCACGGCAAAAACCCTTTGTCGTCCCCGGTCCCACATCCCAAATTTTCCAGGCTCTGGACGAATTCCTCAAAGTGGACCCTGGCAACCCAGCGGCGCGTGCGCTGCTGTTGGAGATCGAAACGGAGGAGCTGAAGCGCAAGGCCAAGCGCGTGGGGCCCGGCTTCGCGGAAGCTGGCAGGCCAGGTATGGGCAGGTTGGGGTTGGGCGGAGGGGGATCGGTTGGGGATCGGTTGGGGATGGGAGTCGGATGTTTTTGGTTGTTTCTGGCATGGAAAGAGATGGAAGAGAATTTGTTTGGAGTGGAATGGACAGGGAGGAGGAATGGTAGGGAAGGGCACCCAGGTCTTGTCCCACATGGTCAGCTGAGCAATGACCAGCACTCCTGTTGGTTGGCTGATGACGGGAGTTGTGCTGAGATGACCAATTGGGATGACTAGAATCCACAAACTTCACCAACCAGTACCCTCTGGTAATTTGTTATATAGCTATTGAAAATGGCCATAGAAATAGTGGATTTACCCATTGAAAATAGGGATTTTCCATAGTTATGTTAGTTTACTAGAGGGTACCTGGGCATGACAGAAGGTGAATGGGCACTGTTTCTGCTTCAACGGACAGTCAAGCATGGTCAACCAGTCAACAGCTTGGGTTCAATGCTTCGGACTCAGATCGTTCAGCAAGAAATGATGATCAAAAGGTAATTTATGTTTCATGATGGTGCAGACATGTATAATCATGTATAAACTATGCATTATAAATTGATGATATATATATATATAGATGAAGTAAATCACTTAATATTTAAAAGAAACTGCTCAGATGCCTTTGTTCCGTCCCCTTCCTGTAGATAGTCGGACCCCCTGCTACAGGACAGCGGGACGCCAGTGCCCGAAGCCGCCCCATGCGGAGGAGGTTGAAGCTTGGTGAAGCTATAGAGATACTGGGATGTTCCCTGCAATTCGCTACATGGTGGATAATTACTGGGTCAACCTTGATTAGATACTTCAGCACTTTAATCTTTTACTAAGAATGGCAAACTGTACTAACCACGATTAAGCTTGAAGAATGTCATTTGAATAGCGGATTCTTCAGCGAATTTCTTCGAAACTGGACGAGCGGCTCAATGTGTTTAACCATATTTCACTTGGCGTGAACACTGAGCCATTCCCATGCCATCCTGGCTGATCTCATGACCCATCTGATTAGCCTCTGGAAAATCATCCATCAGCAGCCGATGATACATCAATCGAACTATTCACAAGGGCCATTTTGCATAGCCAAGTGTCAAAACTGGATACACTACTTAGATGGTTAAGACTAAAATAGACTATAACCATAGATTTATAGATTAACCATAGATTAACATAGATTAACCATAGATTAACCATAGATTAACCATAGATTAACCATAGATTACATTACTTCCGGGGTCCTTTTTTTTTTATAATTTTGACCCATGCAATGACCAGCGAGTTACCGAAAGTTGAAACCACCAGGAACCGCTGGTGGAAGAGTCGGCGGAACCCGTGGAGAAAGTTACGCTCTGGTTTTGCTGCCGCCGGTGCCTGGACACATCGCGTTTTGGGAAATCACACTGGTTGGTGGTGACTGGAACCATGGAATGGATTATGACTTTCCATTTAGTTGGGAATTTCATGACCCCAACTGACGAACTCCATCATTTTTCAGAGGGGTTCAAACCACCAACCAGTGTAGTTCACTGATGTAAAAACAAAATCAACATGGTGTCTTACACGCAAGGATGTTTTTGTTGCTTGTTGATCTGCGCAAGGATATGTTGGTTGTTTGTTTAGCTGCAATGAAGTGTTTCTGGGTACCATGATTCAAAGATGAAGCCCTAAAAGGCAACAACTGGGTAACTGGATGTTAAGGAGTGGGCACTGGTGCTGCTTTCTGGTGTGACTGCTACATAGCAGGAACGGGATTGTGCTCGGTAAGGCGAAGCCACCCATTTTTTTCCCAACAAGTAGTCTACTCCGGCAACGTCCACCCGGAGTGCGGAGTGCCAGAGTTTTGACCCGTGCTCAAGTTCCTCCTTCTCATCATCATCACCATCATCATCATCAATATCAATAACCATTAATAACCATTAATAACCATTAATAACCATTAATAACCATTAATAAACCACCATCATCATCATCATCATCATCAATATCAATAACCATTAATAACCATTAATAACCATTAATAACCATTAATAACCATTAATAGCCATTAATAGCCATTAATAACCATTAATAACCATTAATAACCATTAATAACCATTAATAACCATTAATAACCATTAATAAACCACCATCATCATCATCATCATCATCATCATTATCATCATCAAAATCAAGATCCTTCCGACCTGCATGCAGCTGAGGAAACGGAAGCGCGCGTGATTTGCCATGGCCAAAGATGTCAGCCAGTGATGGCCCATGAAGCATTTAGGCATACCTCAGCCGTAGCCGTGAGCGGTTTGCCAATCTGCCACCCTTTGAACATGACCCCCTTCACCAATAGGCTGTAGGTCTTTCATTGATCATTCAAAACACTTGTGATTTTCTATAGGCTTTCAATCTCAAGCCCATGAGTTTTCGGTCTTTCACAAACTAGTTGACACTTCGGACCCTTCACTCAGATTGTGCCAGAGCCGGAACCAGCGCCTAATACAGAGCTGTTCCGCAAATCATCTGAAAGTGGTGTAAAAAGCTTTGCGATGGGACACCTCGACTGTTGATACTGTGGACACCTGCAAACGTGGCCGCTATACTCTGAAAAAGAAAGCTTTATCTTCAGAAGAAAGATGCTTTTCACCCCACAAGTTGACAAACTGTGACTTAGAGACAATTTGACAAGTTTCGTCTGAAAGTAGTGTACCCCCAAACTCTAACAGAGTATGATCATTTTCTCCATTTGAACGGCCATGGACACACCGATACCCTCACCTTTCAGGCCAACCTATCAGGTAACCAACTCCAAGTTATCATGGTTCATCACCCTGGTGACCGTTCTCTCAGAGGGCCTGGAAGGTTTGGGATATGCCAATGCCATGACAATGTGTTCATGACAGCGGCGCCGGAGGTCACTGCTACCACAATAAGGCGGTCCGCAAAACGCAGAAGGCCGCTGAGTGTGCCAGTTGGGTGAAGAGATAGGTTCAGCCACCCAGAAACGGGACTATTTCCTGGGTCTCCTTACGATGTTCCGATGTTCCACATGGTGTTTTTTCATATCGATATTAGTTGACTGGCAGGTATCCCCCAGTCAACAAGATGTGTTGATAAATTGGCTGTCAACTTTCTGCAGATGTTTAATGCACGCAGAACAATCATATCATTCATTGTCTAAGCTCCTATCAACCAGTATATACTCTCATTACTGAATAGTCTTTCGGGCATTGTTTCATTTGGGCTGATAACCCACCCACATACTGCACTGACAGGGGGCAAGCTTCACAAAGGTGGCTTTATTGGCTCGTGGCCATCTGACTGCACAAACGAAGCCCTGATTTAGCAGTGGATCTGTACATGTGTACTTGTGCTAAATGTTGGTTTAGTTTCATCCCATGAATACTGTGGTATACTGGTATACTATAGTTATAAGTTATAAGATGTTATAAGTATCATAAATCCCACTGGTAAACTAACATAATTATGGAAAATCACATCTAATGAGTGAATAAAGCATATTTTAGTATGTCATGGTTATAGTTACAACCCATATGCTCCATGTATAGTATATTTCTATTCATGGAGCATTGGAGCATATGGCTTATAACTTATAACTATACTACAGGATTTACCCATTAAACATGCTGATGTTCCATGATATATCTTATACCAGTGGGATTTATAGCATCTTATAACATTGGGGTTACCCTCTGGTAAACGTCTACATAACTATGGAAAATCACCATGCTATTAATGGGAAAACTCACTATAATCAATGAATTGGTTAGATTTTCCCATTAAATATGGGGCTTTCCGGTTAATATTTTCCCTTAAACCAATCTATTGAACATAACTATGGAAAATCACCATTTTTGATGGGTCAATCCACTATAAATGGCCATGTTCAATAGCTTTTTCTATGTTTACCAGGCCGGGTCCCAGAGGTTCCACCGTCACCGTGAATCCACCGGTGAATCCAGGCACGACGTCACCGCACCCGGGCGTCCACACCCTCCTCTCCCGAGGCGGTGGGAGGCGCTTTCGCTTCGCGAAAACCAGAATGTCACGGGGATGGAATGTGATATATCTATATATATCATATATGATAAATATATATCATATATATATATATATGTATATCATATATATATATATATATATCATATATGATAAATATATACATAATATACATATATTATATATCTGGCTGGTGGTTTCAAACATGGCTTTTATTTTCCCATAATACATGGGATAATCCTTCCCATTGACGAACTCATATTTTTCAGAGGGTAGGTCAACCACCAACCAGATTATATATATATGATATGAAAAATCACCAGTGGGTGATGGAATGTATAGTGTGATGGATTTTTGGGATATGATATACTCCATATATATATATGTATATATATATAGCCAGCAGTATGAAGTGGGGACTTGTCTGACAATGGGGCAGAGCCCTATCTTAAGGCCATTGTTCATGGAGAATATTAGATGATTGTGACTACAAACTGGAATGCGTATGCAAGTAAATACGCTCATATACCGATCCAGTATGATTCCACCCATTCCTCTGCACTGTGATATCAGGGGATTGTTTTTGGACAAGGTAATAGGGCAAGGTATCGGTCAGAAAGCCCAACTCTGGTCGTGTCCCAAAAACCGGGGCGCCCCGCAGGGTCTGGCGCCAGTCCCAGCCGAACCCGCGGCATCAAGCGGGCCCTGGAACTGCGCGACACCTATGCAGGAGCCGTTGCCCGTTGCACGCACGGGAGCCTTAAGGTGATTTCAGCCTCGGATGGCTCTATAGAACTTATGTAACATGTTCCTATAAATGGGTTTTGTTTTGTATATAATCATATTCTAGTTATATATATATAATAGAATGAAAGAAAGACACCTGAAGGCGCCTCTGTAAAAAAAAAAATACATGAAAGAAATTCATCAACGGGGTATCCTTAAAATTGGCCATGTGGCGCTGCTTGGGTCGGAGCCGATGATCTGTATGTCTCAGCTGCATTAAAACTAGCCGTTTCCTTTCTCTTGGCATCGTTGGAGATATTGATCGTTCGGCTCATACTTCATAATCTTCATAATGTCAACCCCGGATTAATAAACCATGGTTTAGTATTTTAAATACTCATAATCTAATACTTAAATGGTACCCTCCCAATTAAACAGCCCAGGGGTTTATTAATCCAGCATTGACATTACCCCATTCTATTTCTGTACTCTGAGTGTACTTTTGTATCAGTTATATCAGTATCCATAGCCATGGTCAAGTTGGGTAAATTGCCCGGGGATACTCATCAATCCATTAGTCATAGGGATTTAGATGGATTTAGCCATATTCAGAATGCTGTTTGGATTTCCCAAGATGAGATGACCTTAACATTTTCGTCCTGAGTCAGCGCAGGAGCTTTGAAGCCCTCAGTCACTTGGCCGACGGAAAAGAAAGATGCGCCATGGGTGGAATCTATGGAGATGTTTAATGGCTCAACAAATCTGAGTTTTTTTGATCAGAGAATCATTTCCCATGACGGATTGGGCTGGTGCTGGTATATATGCCATAACATGACTGGGGTATCTTGATGGGATCCATGTTACCATATATAGCAGCACCATGGATCCTATGGGTTTGTGAATGCACTCGCGGAGGATCTTCCATTGCCAGCTTTGAACACGGGGTCAGGTTTCTGGGGAACAAAGTTAGGCTTGACGCAAGAACAACAGGATCAGCAGGTATCAGTCGGTATCAGTATGCCCTATTTAGATGGATGATGGGGAGCCAAGGAGCTACCGGGAGTTTCACAACCCGATGTTATCTTTTGAGTGAAAAAAAAACGTCATTTGGTGGACTTGGTGTCAGCAAAAGATCTCTTATTCACTTTTTTCAAGACGTGAAACTGTGATTGTGGCACAGTTAAAAATCCCAAATGGGTTGGATCCTGCAAGGAGGAAGAATGAACCTAGCGTATGTACATCTACTGTATAAATTCGACGGCTAAAATTGATACTAGGACGCTGGCTGAAATCGTTCACCCAAAATCCAAAGACCCACAGAGAGGTGACCTCACGATACCTTTCCCACCCCAAAAAATCTATAGAAACTCCAAAACTCCCACAAAGTGGGACCAAACGATGGCTGAGGTGGTGAACATAACTCCAATATATGTATGATTTATGATACTATAACTACTGGATAGTATTCATGGGGTTTAACCAACTTATATTAGTTTTATGATACTAGTGATACTTAAAACTGATAACCGTAATTAACCATAGTATTCATGGGGTGAAACTGAAGCAACAAACATTTCACATTCAGGGTCTAGCCCCTCATCCCATCTGTGGGCTTCGCCTGGTGCCCCAGCTCTGAGGTGGTAACAACTGTTGCGAAGCCCTGCGAAGTGGAGAAGCTTCAGGTGCGGGTTGTGCGGATGTTGGCTTAGTTACCCGAAGATCACTGGCTGGCTGGCTTATAACCCATTATATATATATATACCCTAGGGGGAGGGGTTTCCCCGGGGGGGAAGGGGTGGGGTGGGATGGGGTGGGGTGGGGTGGGGTGGGGTGCAGCAACGTTCATGTAACTTGCGTGGACGTGGATGCTACGTTGATGCTACGTTGTTGCTACGGTGATGCTACGGTGATGCTACGGTGATGTTATGTGGTGGGGTGGGGTGGGGCGGGGTGGGGCGCAATAACGTTCATGTAACTTGCAATAACGTTCATGTAACAAAGTCAGAGCTGAGACGCCACGGATTGCAGAAGGTTGTCAACGACCCAATCGAACATCGCAACGTCCTAGCAGTGCACTATCTAAACAAAAAGCCTGGTTTGGAAAGTGTCGTGAAAGCACTCGCACGCTTTCGGCGGCTGGCAATGAAAAGTTGCCGCCAGCCAACGTTAGTGTTCAAAGAAGCACCATGGGACAGCTGAAACAGAAAAAACAGCTGACTCACAGCACTGGGAAATTTTGATGATATGCAAAAACACTGAGAATTCCCAATGAAAAACAACATCACATCAAAATACCTGTGGAAACACAGTACATTATACCCTTTTCCACTGATCTTTGATATATCACTAAATGTGCACCTCGTAAGTCCAATGGGGAAAAAAGAACACAAAAACAGACATGTTACCATGGTCCATCTACGAATTCAACTTCGACGGACAATTTTTTTGAAAGACATCAAGTATGAAATGAACTACATCAAACATCTCCATTTTACCGCAGTAAAACACTGTTTTTTCTCAAATTCAATGAGCCTGAGTGACGTCCTATCGGAGAACCTACTCCCCCTACCGTATATATACTGTATATATATATATGGTTGGTGGTTTCAAACATTTTTGTTTTCCATTTCATATATGGGATAATCTGTCCCATTGACTTTCATATTTTTTCAAGATGGTTAAAACCACCAACCAAAATGCACACATACATGGGTATATAGTGAGTTATCGCCCCCTTATCAACTAACTTCGTGGTCAAATCAAGTCTGTCAAAATCACCTCACGGGCCTCACTGGGGCAAGCCATGGCATATGGCAGGGCAGTTGTACAGAGCAACATATTGATGGTTGATTAATGGTACAACTGCCAGTCAATGGCATATTAATCAATTGAAACCATCAACCATTATGCCATTGTGCATGTTAATCATATGTTAGTTGATGGTTTCAATTGATTAATCTTAGCAACCCACCAACCATGACTGGGGATGCTGGGGAAATCCCACCAAAAATGGTGATGACTTGGGGATGGTGACTATGGCTTTGGGTGAATCCAACATTAGTTGCGTTTCATGCCACAAGCTTGCGTGAACCTGAGATATCCTGAGATGATGAACCACTTGACTTGATTTGATCATATGTTGACGATGGAAAAACATGACAGTCCTAGCAAGGACGGTTCATGAAACGGAATATCACTTTTGGGTGGGGGGATGCAATCAGCATCATTCTCACGCTTCAACATGACATACCCTCTGGCAAACTAACATAACTATGGAAAATCACCATTTTTAATTGGAAAATTCACTATAAATGGCAACTTTCAATAGCTATGTTAAATTACCAGAGGGTAAACGTCCCATTCTTTGGGTTTCAACCATCCTTTTGGTGGTTGTGGATGGATTTCTGAACCATCCACAATTTGTTTCATGCGCCAGGCTGTTCTCATCAATTTGGACAGAAGCCCGCAAGCCCAGGGGGGTAGACGAATGACTCGAGTTGACAAATGGCCGATGCTGAAATGACAAACAATTATATACCCTCTGGTAAACTAACATAGCGAACAACTGGAAAATCACTATTTGAATATGTAAATCATCTAATGGTCCATTGTCCATAGCTATGTTAGTTTACCAGAGGGTAAGTGTTTTTTGTGTGAATCACACGTTAGAATGGGCAGAATGTTAAAAAAGAATGTGATGAGTCATGAATCCATTTGTTGTAGTAGGCATGAACTGGGAAGATCTGATCAATTGATAGGATGTTGTTGTTGACTATGATTCGATAGTGGTCTTATTGCCTTGTAACAAGATGATGGTCTTGAAGATGATGAAAACAAGACTTTTGATGATAGTCCGGCCTCGTTGATCCTGAGACCCACCATTATCTCCCACCTCTTTAGGTGCCTACTAGGTTAACCTTGGATGGCTACTTTAACCGTTAGTCTTTTGGTATCAATTGGATTGTCTACTAACCAGCTAAGAATCTATGTTGTTGTAGGCTATCTAACTTTGGGCAATGCCTAAAGTTCAATCCGAAGCACTCTTTAGCTGTCCACCTCACTCGTGGGTACGAAATATTCTCCAACGGCCGCAACGTCTCAATCTTGGGGCCCCAAGAATGGTTCAAATGCGATTATTTGGGGGTGCTCACTAGTATGTTCAGACAAATGCATATTGTCTGTTTGGTATATGACGGTATATGATGTTATGTAGACACAGAAACTCATGAATTACTATATACAGCACCCATACAATTATATGTGTTTGATAATTTTTATATAGTTGATGTTTAAGCTATCACGATCTCTATTCCTATATTATGCAAGACATGTTCATGAATTACCTAGCTGATGGTGGTTAGTTGACAATACATTGAATATGATCACGCTTAAACATGTCCCTCACCTTCCAGTTACCTATCAGATAGGTAACCAACTCCAAATAATCATGAGGTTTTTCATCACCTTCCAGTTACCTATCTCAGAGGTATCTGGAAGGTTAAGGGATATTGATAGATACTATATAATAGATATGTATCGACAATTGATATGTTTCCTTATATATATCCATTGGAAATCAAACTTTTCCCATGTACAGGTTAGGGATACATATATATTCTTGACTATTTACATGAAGTAACATTCAATGAACGTATAAATCAACTCATAATGATGATTAATCCATATTAACCCATATTAACCCATGTTAACCCCATTTGTTGTGGCACCTTCGTTTCGCGGTTCCCCGTTGTTTCCCCAACTTGGGCGGCCAGAGAGGCCGCCCGACCTCGGACCGTCGGTTTTTCCGTCGGAAGTTCCGAGGGCCGGATCGCCTTGCGGAGTGCGCCCAGCGCATCGAGACCAACTGCGATTGGCTCCAGTGCCGCGGCTGAGGTTTAGTATGGGGGTTCATGATGGTTAATATACCTGGTTAATATACTGTTGATAATGGTTAATCTGGTTGAGCCACCTACCATTGTGGTTAATATACCTGGTTAATAATGGTTAATATTAATGGTTATTATATGGTTAATGATGGTTAATGATGGTGAATAATCACTGGTTGGTGGTTTGGAACATGGGAGCTTCAGGATCAATGCATCGATGGGAATTTCAGGATCCTAAAATGGAGGTACGTTAGTATCATATAAGATCATATAAGACCGTATTTTGTGGGGATATCATGATATATCTACTGGTTGGTGGTTTGGAACATGGCTTTTATGTTCATTTCATATATGGGATGTTATCCTTCCCATTGACTTACTCATATTTTTCAGAGGGGTTCAAACCACCAACCAGTTATGGCCGAACTAACAGATAGGATTTATAGGAGGTATGATGAATAGGATTATATATCATGAAAAAAGAACAGTTAGTTTTATAAATGAGATTATTTCATGATATATAACTAACCAGTTTTAGGAGTTATACGTAATCGAATTTACTGTATAACTGTTAGTTGGGCCATAATTGAAGGGGATGTTCAGCCGAAAAAAATGACCAAAACACCATGAAGATTGATGAAGACATTGCGATTTGTTGCGAAATTGATGATTGATGAAGATTGATGACATGGAGAGAATTCGCTTGTTTTTTGATGAAGATTAGTTGATGAAGGCATGGCGATGTGCGTTTTTTGTCTTGACATTTCATGAGGAAAATTAGTTAATTACAGTAGTTTGTTTTTTTGTTGGCCGAAAAGATGATGAACAGATGGAGATGTTGTGATTTTCTGGGATTTTTTTTCGTAGCATTTGGAGATGATGCGAAAAATTGAGATTTGGATTTGTTTTTTGACATTCGTATGGACCATTTCATAAAGGACTAGGTTCACCTTGGAACGTACAAACTAATCCTTTGGTCTTTTGGTATGGGATTATCTACTGACCAGCTAAGAATTTGTCATTTTTTGTAGGGTCTCTAAGATTGGCAATAAGGATATGAGATTTTCAGAAACTGAAGCTGGCGACTTTTTCTATGAAATCAACCAACGATAATATTGACCAAACGATGGCGAAGAAATCAGGACCATTTCAAAGCACAAGCAACTGATAATGGGGCTGAATACGCATTGATATTGCACACTTACAATATAACTAGCTGGTTGGTGGTTTGGAACATGGTTTTTATTTTTTCCATTCAGTTGGGAATTTCATCATCCCAACTGACGAACTCATATTTGTCAGAGGGTAGGTCAACCACCAACCAGCTAGAGATTGTCACATTGATGGTGAATAGACCCTCATTGTACCGTTGGTTGGTGGGAGCCATTCTCAACATTATCAAGTCCCGGGGAATTCACCAGGAGTTGATATAGAGGAAAGGTCACAATAGGTTGGCTGGTGGTTTGGAACATGGCTTTTATTTTCCATTTCATATGTGGGATGTGATCCTTCCCAACTGACGAACTCATATTAAGGGCTGCCGCCCCTGCCGCCGACCCCGGAAGAATCGGCAAGGAAGCAAACTAAATTCTGAGGCTTTCGACCTTTTTCCTATGTATATTGTTGTGAACTATATTTGATAGGTTTGAATTTTCATTTGTAAATGGGTTTTTCATTTGGGTGCATGTTGATATTATGATCCTATGGTTTTATGGGTTCACGGATCTAAGTAACTGTACAATAGTTAGATATATCTATACGATAGTTTTGGCCTTTTATTATGCAGCTAGTGTTGCGCCGCACAGGTGCATGGTTGCGCCGCACAGGTGCATGATAGTTTATCAAAGTATACGGGGACCTTGTTTTTTTGGATCCTCCGCCTTGTTTTCCGTGTTTTTTTGACCCTTCATGAATGAAATCCTAAATGAAACTCTCAAGAAACTACCCACATGAATGTTTGAAAACCTTGACAAGATTTTCGGTTGAAACAATTAGTTTGGCAGTGAAGGACGGAGAAGGCGCAAAAAAGGCGGCGAAAAAGTGCCTAACGTAACTTCTGAAACCCATAGAAAATGAGGAGATTTCGAAGCTACTTGTCCCGCTCCAAAACGCGGTTCTTGGGCGAGGAAAGACCGCGCAAAACCACAGCCCCCGGACGGGGAAACACCATGGCAGTGAAGGACGGAGACGGCGCAAAAAAGGCGGCGAAAAAGTGCCTAACGTAACTTCTGAAACCCATAGAAAATGAGGAGGTTTCTGAGCTACTTGTCCCGCTCCAAAACGCGGTTCTTGGGCGAGGAAAGACCGCGCAAAACCACAGCCCCCGGACGGGGAAACACCATGGCAGTGAAGGACGGAGAAGGCGCAAAAAAGGCGGCGAAAAAGTGCCTAACGTTGCTTTCTGAAACCAGAAGAAAATCTCCAGGAAAGCGCCCGGCAGGTGGCCAAAGGACATGCTGCTAGGCCGCCAAGGGCGCCATGAAGGGTTTAAAGGCAGCTCAGGGCGCCGGGGAGGGTTTAAGGGCAGCCTACTGCCTAACGTTGCTTTCTGAAACCAGAAGAAAATCTCCAGGAAAGCGCCCGGCAGGTGGCCAAAGGACATGCTGCTAGGCCGCCAAGGGCGCCATGAAGGGTTTAAAGGCAGCTCAGGGCGCCGGGGAGGGTTTAAGGGCAGCCTACTGCCTAACGTTGCTTTCTGAAACGAGAAGAAAATCTCCAGGAAAGCGCCCGGCAGGTGGCCAAAGGACATGCTGCTAGGCCGCCAAGGGCGCCATGAAGGGTTTAAAGGCAGCTCAGGGCGCCGGGGAGGGTTTAAGGGCAGCCTACTGCCTAACGTTGCTTTCTGAAACGAGAAGAAAATCTCCAGGAAAGCGCCCGGCAGGTGGCCAAAGGACATGCTGCTAGGCCGCCAAGGGCGCCATGAAGGGTTTAAAGGCAGCTCAGGGCGCCGGGGAGGGTTTAAGGGCAGCCTACTGCCTAACGTTGCTTTCTGAAACCAGAAGAAAATCTCCAGGAAAGCGCCCGGCAGGTGGCCAAAGGACATGCTGCTAGGCCGCCAAGGGCGCCATGAAGGGTTTAAAGGCAGCTCAGGGCGCCGGGGAGGGTTTAAGGGCAGCCTACTGCCTAACGTTGCTTTCTGAAACCAGAAGAAAATCTCCAGGAAAGCGCCCGGCAGGTGGCCAAAGGACATGCTGCTAGGCCGCCAAGGGCGCCATGAAGGGTTTAAAGGCAGCTCAGGGCGCCGGGGAGGGTTTAAGGGCAGCCTACTGCCTAACGTTGCTTTCTGAAACCAGAAGAAAATCTCCAGGAAAGCGCCCGGCAGGTGGCCAAAGGACATGCTGCTAGGCCGCCAAGGGCGCCATGAAGGGTTTAAAGGCAGCCCAGGGCGCCGGCGAGGGTTTTTTTAACGGCAGCCTATGCTAGCGTGTTTTACTGAAACCAGAAGAAAATCTCCCAGGGCGGCCAAAGGACATGATATGAGGGTTTTAAAGGCAGCTCAGGGCGCCGGAGGGTTAAGGCAGCCACTGCCTAAGTTGCTTTCTGAAACCAGAAGAAAATCTCCAGGAAAGCGCCCGGCAGGTGGCCAAAGGACATGTTGCTAGGCTGCAAAGGGCGCCATGAAGGGTTTAGAGGCAGCTCAGGGCGCCGGGGGAGGGTTTAAGGGCAGCCTACTGCCTAACGTTGCTTTCTGAAACCAGAAGAAAATCTCCAGGAAAGCGCCCGGCAGGTGGCCAAAGGACATGCTGCTAGGCCGCCAAGGGCGCCATGAAGGGTTTAAAGGCAGCTCAGGGCGCCGGGGAGGGTTTAAGGGCAGCCTACTGCCTAACGTTGCTTTCTGAAACCAGAAGAAAATCTCCAGGAAAGCGCCCGGCAGGTGGCCAAAGGACATGCTGCTAGGCCGCCAAGGGCGCCATGAAGGGTTTAAAGGCAGCTCAGGGCGCCGGGGAGGGTTTAAGGGCAGCCTACTGCCTAACGTTGCTTTCTGAAACCAGAAGAAAATCTCCAGGAAAGCGCCCGGCAGGTGGCCAAAGGACATGCTGCTAGGCCGCCAAGGGCGCCATGAAGGGTTTAAGGCAGCTCAGGGCGCCGGGGAGGGTTTAAGGGCAGCCTACTGCCTAACGTTGCTTTCTGAAACCAGAAGAAAATCTCCAGGAAAGCGCCCGGCAGGTGGCCAAAGGACATGCTGCTGGGCCGCCAAGGGCGCAGGGAAGGGTTTAAGGGCAGCTTACGGCGCCGGGGAGGGTTTAAGGGCAGCCTACTGCCTAACGTTGCTTTCTGAAACCAGAAGAAAATCTCCAGGAAAGCGCCCGGCAGGTGGCCAAAGGACATGCTGCTAGGCCGCCAAAGGCGCCATAAAGGGTTTAAGGGCAGCTCAGGGCGCCGGGGAGGGTTCAAGGCCAGCCTGCTGCCTAACGTTGCTTTCTGAAACCAGAAATCTCCAGGAAAGCGCCCGGCAGGTGGCCAAAGGACATGCTGCTAGGCCGCCAAGGGCGCCATGAAGGGTTTAAAGGCAGCTCAGGGCGCCGGGGAGGGTTTAAGGGCAGCCTACTGCCTAACGTTGCTTTCTGAAACCAGAAGAAAATCTCCAGGAAAGCGCCCGGCAGGTGGCCAAAGGACATGCTGCTAGGCCGCCAAGGGCGCCATGAAGGGTTTAAAGGCAGCTCAGGGCGCCGGGGAGGGTTTAAGGGCAGCCTACTGCCTAACGTTGCTTTCTGAAACCAGAAGAAAATCTCCAGGAAAGCGCCCGGCAGGTGGCCAAAGGACATGCTGCTAGGCTGCCAAGGGCGCCATGAAGGGTTTAAAGGCAGCTCAGGGCGCCGGGGAGGGTTTAAGGGCAGCCTACTGCCTAACGTTGCTTTCTGAAACCAGAAGAAAATCTCCAGGAAAGCGCCCGGCAGGTGGCGAAAGGACATGCTGCTTGGCTGCCAAGGGCGCCATGAAGGGTTTAAAGGCAGCTCAGGGCGCCGGGGAGGGTTTAAGGGCAGCCTACTGCCTAACGTTGCTTTCTGAAACGAGAAGAAAATCTCCAGAAAAGCGCCCGGCAGGTGGCCAAAGGACATGCTGCTGGGTGCCAAAGACGCCGGGAAGGGTTCAAGGGCAGGGTTTAAGGGCAAGGTTTAAGGGCGGCCGAGGGCGCCGGGAAGCGTTTAACGGCAGCCTACTACCTAACGTCGCTTTCTGAAACCAGAAGAAAAGGTGCCGCGAAGCCACTTTTTCTCGGGCGCGCTCCCCCTGCAGATGGCTGGGGTCGGCGGATTTTTCAAGATGGCTAAAACCACCAACCAGTAGGTAATCAGCCTCTGAGAATCTCAGAAGCAATAGTGATAGATTAATAGTGATTAAGCAGCAGTGATAGATTAATAGTGATTAAGCAATAGTGATAGATTAATAGTGATTAAGCATCAAACATTTGGTTAAGTAGCAATAGTGATAGCAGCAAATCGGAACTTGATATGTATGGTGATGGAGATGTAACCATCAAACATTGGACATGTGACAGATCAACAAAGATGCTCAACAACAAGAAAGTTTCAATTCAATACATTTAGCAAATGTACTATCATTTACTGTTGTTGTTTTTGTGTTTCCATTCACTTCTGTCACTATTTAAACACCGTTGGTGTGACATTGTTGTTTGTTTCCAAGGACAAAACATAGCTGGCCATCCTTTTTGTACTATACGGACCAATAGTGTTACACATACCTAAGATGCCTAAAACCCAAAATTAGCCCTGCTTGAGATGCTTGGTCCATGCAATTTATGGTTCAAGACCCTTCAAAATATTTTGGTGTCCTGTGGCAAGCATTCGTTCCAGGTATCAACAAGCAGATAAATAAACATATCTGATACCCCGAATTGTGAATACCCCCAACCAGGTCATTTCAATAGGGAAAAACGATGATAAACCACTGGATTGTGGGGTTTTCCCGTAATTTCTTCACAAACCCTACAATACTGGTTGGTGGTTTGGACCATTTTTTACTCCCAACAGCGTAAGCTAATGGGGTCTTCAGCCCAGAATAGCTCTGGTGTGCACTGGTGCAGGCGCCGGGTCAGGTTCAACGAGGTTCCGGAGAAGGTTCCGAAGGTTCCGGAGAAGGTCTGGGAGGCTTTGGTGCAGAGCCAGGTCAGGTTCAACAGGGTTCCGGAGAAGGTTCCGGAAAAGGTCTGGGAGGTTCTGGTGCAAAGCCCGTTCAGGTTCAACAGAGTTCCGGAACAGGTTGCGGAGAAGGTGGAGGCTTTGGTGCAGAGCCAGTTCAGGTTCAACAGGGTTCCGAAGAAGGTTCTGGAGAAGGTCTGGGAGGCTTTGGTGCAGAGCCAGGTCAGGTTCCGGAGAAGTTCCGGGAGGCTTTGGTGCAGAGTTAGGTTTTGGGTTTAAGATGGTTCCGAAGAATGTTTCGGAGAAGGTCTGGGAGGCTTTGGTGCATAGCCAGGTCAGGTTCAACAGGGTTCCGAAGAAGGTTCCGGCGAAGGTCTGGGAGGCTTTGGTGCAGAGCCAGGCAAGATTCAACAGGGTTCCGGAGAAGGTTCCAAAGAAGGTTCCGGGAGGCTTTGGTGCAGAGTCAGGTCAGGTTCAACAGGGTTCCGAAGAAGGTTCCGGCGAAGGTCTGGGAGGCTTTGGTGCAGAGCCAGGCAAGATTCAACAGGGTTCCGGAGAAGGTTCCAAAGAAGGTTCCGGGAGGCTTTGGTGCAGAGTCAGGTCAGGTTCAACAGGGTTCCGGAGAAGGTTCCGGAGAAGGTCTGGCAGGCTTTGGTGCAGCCAGGTCATGTTCAACAAGGTTCCGGAGAAGGTTCTGGAGAAGGTCTGGGAGGCTTTGGTGCAGCCAGGAAGGTTCCGGATAAGGTCTGGGAGGCTTTGGTGCAGCCAGGTCAGGTTCAAGAGGGTTCCGGAGAAAGTTCCAGCGCTTGGCTGAAAGATTTGCAAAAATAAAACGTTGGGGCTGTTAGTTTTTCCATATATTGGGAATAATCATCCCAACTGACTATAAAATATTTTTCAGAGGGATTGAAACCACCAACCAGTATATACATATACACATCATATACATATACATATAATGAGTCTGTTGGTCCCACGTTCCTCAAGTTGACATGCACCAGATCCACCAGGGGCACGGTTCCAGGTACCAACGCATGAGGGCCAGCGACGGGAAGCAGGACCTCATCAGGTCAGACGAAGTGTGCCTTGGCGGCCTCGGGTGGTAGCCATGGTGGCCATAGTATCAATGGCGAAGCATTTCAGGGACCATGTTGGCCTGGAAACCATGGATTTTTGCCTCCACATGGAGGCCTAAAATAGGGGTACCCCTAAATCATCCATGAAATAAAAGGAAATTCCATTGCAAACCATCCATTTTGGAGATCCACCATTTTAGGAAATCTCCAAATATTGTCCGGGATTTCCTTTAGATCATCCCTTCAATTCTAGAGTTCAAAGTATGATAGATGAGGATGAAAGGGAGAATCATGGGGGTCATACTTACAACGGGGGATACCAACAAAAAGAACTTTGGAAGCAAGCCTGGGAGAACTATGATATCAGGTATGACGGACATGTTTTCCCCAGCAATAATGGTGGTTGGTGATAAAAAAGGAAGGGAACACATATGGTGGTTTGATGTGGTTTGTCAATAGAAAGATCCAGGCGGAATCTTCTCTTACTCTCGTTCGAGTTGGGTATGCAGTATTTTCGGATTTCACCACGAAATGCTTTGTGGAACAGGTGAATACCAACAAATCCTATCCCTTTGTAAGTGGTGAGAAAAGCAAATATGAAGATCCCTCATTTCTCCCCAGATCGCAATTTCGCGCAGGAAATGATGACAAAAACCATGAGTTTCGGGGTTTTGAAGCATCAAACATGTTGAACTGAACAGAATTGGGAATTCATCCATGAAACATCGATACTTAGCAGTACATGCGTTTTGACCCATGTGTTTTTAAAAACCAGGCAAGTGGATCCATGTATAAACCAGCTCTACACAGGGATTTATCAAGAATAAGGGGATCAATGGCAAGGATGGAACAGAATTGGCATGCAGCTTTGGAAATCTCACACCGAACATTGGGATTTTGGTATCGAAAAAACATCAAATATGTGGATTTGAACTGGCGGTACCTTCTTGGGAATCTAATGTGAATACCATTCTTTGTACTCGGAAAGTTGTTTGTTGATGCATGTAACTAGGGCAGTTTCATTGTCAGGCCTGCAAATATAACCGTTGTACTAGGTAGAAAAACTTTAGAAAATGGATGAACATGGAGAGTCGGTTATTGACAGGTCTGACTGCGAGGGGGGGTGCAAATTGATGGATCTTGGTCATTGTACATGGGGATTGAAATGATTTTGCACAAAACGACGTTTGAAAGACGAGGGATCCAGATGGGCATGCCGACCAAAGCAGATATCAACCAATATACTTTTGATCAGGTAGATATCAGTAATATATATATATATAATTATATATATACATCAAAAATGTGAAGCCGCTCAAACAAGCTGAGAGCATAATAAATATAATATATATACATATATGTTTATTTATACAATGTGGGGCCCCCCAGTTATAAGTTGGTTTATAAGCGCCAGTAAGTATAGTTATAAGTACCATAAACCATAGTTATTGGAGTTATAAACCAACTTAGCTATCTAGGGGGCCCCACTTTGTACATATATATATATTTATATACATTTACCCATGGAAGATTCTGGATCTTGTAACACAACCATTCCTGTACTCCCTGCACAGATTCCCAATGCCCTCTGCTTTGTTTCGTTTCACCGATTCTGCTAGATCCACCTTTTGGAATATGTTGCGACCAGGACCTAAGGATTTAAATCCTATAGGAAATATAAATGGAGGTTTGTACCCCCAAATCATGCATTTTACCCTCTGGTAAACTAACATAGCTTTTGAAAATGGCCATTTTTAGTGCATTTACCCATTAAAAATGGTGATTTTCCATAGTTACGTAAACGTTTACCAGAGGGTAATAATAGGATTGTCCATTTTCCACAGCATCCAGCAATTAGGGCGGCGATTGGGGATCACATTTTCACATCTTGTTGGAATTTTGCTGAGGACCCATTGGTGGCACACCGGTCGCAACGTGGTGTACCAGAAGATCCGCTCACGCCGAAAAGGCCGGTCCTACGACTCGTCCGACTCGTCCGACCGGACTCGTCCGACCGGACTCGTCCTGGGATGTGTTCAGCTTCGTTCATTGTGGTCGTAATAGACATGGCTAGAAAATCCATGGAAAATCAATATTGTAAATGGAAGTTTGAACGAAAAATTGTCATCTATAAACGGTGGATTTTCCGTTGTCACCTTTGATTACTGGAGTAGGTAGAACCCATTAGGAAACCCAGCCACATGTCTGGCCTCTACTATCAAACTTGCCCACTTTGATCATATCATCTTCAAAACATCTAGCATTCCAAGAATCCAAGAACATCCAAAAAGTTCTCAGAATCGAAAATTAGGCCCCGAGAAATGCCAAAAAATGCAGAAGGTGCTGTCAGAAACCCTGTCAGAAACCTCGGTTTTCATGAAGCTTTTCCCGCAGGCTGGGATGATCTCCACACTTACAAGGTGAGAGAGTTGAGCATGAGCGCTGGTGAGCGTGGTTGCGCACGGCCCCCCAGGGCCCCCAGGGTCCGGAAAACAGCATGGAAAAGTCCCCGAGTTCGCTTAGTTTATCCATGGGAAATCCAATGACACAAAAAAGATATGGGTGACACATGGATTTTTTGAATGGACGGAGAATGGCTAAACAGTTGGCTGCACTGTTTTTGTTGGCTAAAGATCTATTTTAGTGGCGAATTCCACATATGTTATTTATGTGCATTGCATTGTGTCAAATAGTGTAATGCCTTTAGAAATCGCAAACTCCTGCTCAATTTGAATCCCACTTGTTCCTTCATTGTTTGCTCCTTCATTTTTTGCGACAAACAGACAAAGACTGTTAAATTCCGTATGATACTTTATTTGTGCCGCTCCCCAAACAAATGTACAAATAGGGTGTGGTTGGACTTTAGGCTTAATAATGGTGTATCGCTTCATCACCTTTGATGTTACCTTCTTCATGATCAGCAGAATCTTACAATATCATTCACCCCCCTGCTTTCCTTGGAACCATCCACAATGGATGTGCCCTTGAACCCACCTCGTGGATGGCTAAATCACAATTTTATTTGATGAAAACATCACTAGATGCCACCTTTTTTTTGCTGGAATCACTCCTTGGGATGGTAAACATACCTATTTTGTTGACTGAACTGACCAGTACTTTACCGTTGCACCGTCGAGCTCAGGCAATGTCGCATATCCGAGCCTGGCGGCGGTGCCTGGAGAACAGCGCGGAGACCTGGAAGGGTTTAGTTGGTCTAAGAATTTGGATATAATGTATAGTTGATATAATATTGACATAGATTGACTGTTATTTACTGTAGATGGAATATATTTATAGAGAAGCCGTTGTTTTTCGCATGGTGATTTGATGGTGATTTCATGGTATTTAATCCCTATGGATCCAGCGGTGCCTTCTTAGGAAGTACGACGGGGGTATGATGACTAGGGGGTTTGCCGTATATCAGACAGTGCTTGGATCCATGGTATATATATATATTGTTATATCTACATTTCATGTGTATATATATATATGTGTGTGCGTGTGTGATGTGTGTAATGCAGAATCAGCATGTACTATAAATTAGTATCATCCCATATCACTGATTAATGCTATTATCATGTTCCCACCGGGAAAATCTTTGTTATTACTCTCAAACCGGAAATGCGGGATGTCAATGATATGATTTGGATATCTTAACAATCAGCAGATCAATAAAGAAATATCATTGATGATATACCATCAATATCATCAAATATTGTGCTGCAACATGATATTGGTAATATTAACGATTAGTTATATGTTTATGGATTGCATGAACGGCGTAAATACTAGTAATGCTAATAGTAATAGCAATAATGACCTCCTAGTGTTGGTAATGGGATATGATGAGTGAATTTTTTTCGGGGTCCTCAAAAGGATAGAACCGTGTTTCTAGGATGTTAGTTTGATGATGTGTCAAAAAAGGTTCCTTCATAATTCCCAGATTCCAGCTTGTTTTATGTATTTTGGGGCTGCTATTAGAGGATATAATCGGATACAATGAATGGGATACATAGAATATGACAATATATAGCCAACAATACCATTTGGGACATGGGGAATCTTCAGCCAAGACTTTATAGGGATATAATCTGCGGATACAATGGGATTTATAAGCACCAATTTGATATCGTGATTTCATACCACCAAAAAATGTCATGTTCAGACAAGTTGTTTACCTATTGTTCTTCGGCTATATCCCAGCAAATATCCCCATGCTCTCTCCTTACATACATCAATCCATTGATTATGGTTGGTCCTTCCGCCCTGCTGTTCGCGCGCGTTTTCGAAGTCGTCTTCCCCATAGGAATAATAGGGTTTTTTGAGTTCCATCCCATTAAACGCAGTGTTTCGTCAGAGTCGGCATGGGGTGGGGTGGGGTGGGGATGTTAACGTTCATGTTAACTTGCGGCACATGCGCAACTGACGTCACGTCACTGGGTTGGGGTGGGTGGGGATGTTAACGTTCATGTTAACTTGTTTTTCTTGAAGTTGATGCTACGCCATCTTATCGCGCTCGCCTTTGTGCGCCATCTTATCGCGCGCGGACACCAGGTCAGAACCTTGTTGGTATGTATACGATAAACCCCCATGGTTGAAAAATTAGGTATACCCTCTGGTAAATTAACATAGACCCTGAAAATAATCCATTTTTAGTGGAAACCAGTCTTCGAACCCCTATCTGCCAGGGTCTATGTTAATTTACGGAGTGTACATAATTTCTGGATGAATCATAATGACCTCACTGCTTTCAGATTGGTGAATTAGTCTAATTCAGCAAGAATCACTCTCCGAGGTTGAATGATGGGGTAGCCTCTGGTAATGGTAATTAAACATGCTGGAGAATCACCCAGCCATGTTTGAGGAAACCGGAGGGAAAAATAGCAAATTCATCATGTTTGATGTTTCAATCTCGATTTGCTCCACGTTGCATCAGTAATAGTATATAACAATATATTTTTTAACGACCTCACTGCGACCTCGGAAATTAGCAGGGTCACCATCCAAAAATATCCGAACTGTGCGGATAGGTTTTTTTTGCCCAGATTTTAAGTCATGTCCATATTTATTCAGTTTTTATTCCCAATGGAGAAACCATAGTTAGTGGGGTGATACACCAACTTAGATATCTGGAGGATGTTTGGAACATTGCAAATTCTATGAGTAATTACAATGACCATTCTATTTGGGGGATTACCATTAAATCCCATTAAATCACCATTAAATCCACATGTTTCTTGGTGAAATCCCAGTTTTGTTGGTTAAATTCCTACTTTTTGTTGATGATTCAACTCCCACCAGGTGACTTCAGCTTAAGAATCGCCCACTCGCAAGGCCCAGATCAACCCTTGCTGGTCGGACGTCTCAGGGGCGACACAAAAGAGAGAGGCGCAGGTCGATGGCGTTAATTGAGCAAGCCATAGACCTTGGGATTTATGGTATGATCATGTATAACTGGTTGGTGGTTTGGAACATGTTTTATTTTCCATAATATATGGGATAATCCTGGATATAATCCTTCCCATTGACTTTCATATTTTTCAAGATGGTTAAAACCACCAATCAGAATATATCTATGGATTCATAACTATAGAAATGTTATGTATATATACTGTATAGTGTTACAACCCCATCCAAGTATAGAAATACTCTCGGTTCAAACTCGGATTTATGGTAAAAATAGGAATAAAAATGATATATATATATATATATTTATATTTATAGTTATATAATGTTATATATATACAGATATATATATATATTGTATGTATATATATATATATTATATATTCATAGCTATATTTAATCCAGTTCCGCCAAATACTGGTGAATGTGTGGGACGAAACCACAGAATTGGGACCATTAACCATGGGGATATGTTTTGGAGGATGGGATTCGTATCACCAGCATTCCATAGGAATCCTATGGAATATTTTATCGAATCCTGTTTGGTATGAACCAGCCAGTGACCTTTCTGTGAATGAACTAGCGAGTATTAGTTGGCGGTATTCTTCCCATATGATTTTAGGTGCTGGTGGAAAATGGGCTGTACAGAAACCATACGGTGGAAAACCCTCAAAGATTTAGTTCCCCACCTGCCAGGTGAGGGTTGTTAGATTTTATGTCAGTTGCCTCCTCCTGCCTCCTCCTGACTCCTGCCTCGTCCTCCTCCTCCTCCTCCTCCTCTCCTCCTCGTCGTCCTCCTCGTCCAACTGCGACCCGCGATCCACAGTGTTCTCTGTCGGACCTCAACCACGACCATCCACGCCCAGTGTTCCCTGCCGGACCTCAATCACGACCATCCCCGCCCAGTGTTCCCTGCCGGACTTCAACCACGACCATCCACGCCCAGTGTTCTCTGTCGGACCTCAACCGCGAGTATCCACGCCCAGTGTTCCCTGCCGGACCTCAACCACGACCATCCCCGCCCAGTGTTCCCTGCCGGACCTCAACCACGACCATCCGTGCCAGTGTTCCCTGCCGGACCTCAACCGCGAGTATCCACGCCAAGTGTTCCCTGCCGGACCTCATGTAGGAAGATGTGGGACAAAGAATGTGCAGAAGAAAGTTAGAAAGAATGTCAGAAAGAATGTCAGAAGATATGCCAGAAGATATGCCAGATAGAATGCCAAATAGAATGCCAGATAGAATGCCAGATAGAATGCCAAAAGATATGTCAGAATATATGCCAGAAGATATGCCAGATAGAATGCCAGATAGAATGCCAGAAGATATGTCAGATAGAATGCCAGAAGATATGCCAGATAGAATGCCAGAAGATTTGCCAGATAGAATGCCAGAAGATATGCCAGATAGAATGCCAAATAGAATGTCAGAAGATATGTCAGATAGAATGCCAGAAGATATGTCAGAATATATGCCAGAAGATATGCCAGATAGAATGCCAGATTGAATGCCAGAAGATATGTCAGATAGAGTGCCAGAAGATATGCCAGATAGAATGCCAGAAGATTTGCCAGATAGAATGCCAGAAGATATGCCAGATAGAAATGCCAGATCATATGCCAGAAGATATGCCAGATAGAATGCCAAATAGAATGTCAGAAGATATGTCAGATAGAATGCCAGAAGATTTGCCAGTAAGAAAATGTATAAATGTCATGGTGGGGATCACACGAAGTAAAGTAATTATTTTTTTTGGCTGGGTTTGAACACGAGTTAATTGCCATATGGCTTTTCAGATTGGCTGTCCTATCCCCATGGGGATGTTTAATCCCAACAGATGAACAGTGGTCAAAACCCGTCATCCCTTTATACTGGTTGGTTGATAAGAATGTTCTCAATGGATTGTGATGGTCCCAGGGTATTGCTTAGTACAATCCCACATAGACATCAACCAGCAGGGCTTTAGCAGCCAGTGCTCAAATAAGGAGCAGTAAGTTCATCATCGTGTTTCCGAAAAACGTTGCCATGTTGTGACAACAAACCCATGCCATGATCAAGCAAGTTGGATGACAACAAGCCCTTGGGGATGGTCATAACCGTCGCCATGCGATCTGAGATGAAGTTCCTGAAATCTCCCCACCGTGTTTTGGAAATCCACGTGATCTTCCCCAGCATATCTCCACAGCTGAAATCCTGAAATTATAGTTATGGCCCAAGTAACACTTAGAAAAATTGGATGAACTAACTCCGAAAAAAAAACTGCTTGGTGATATGAAATAATCCATAAATCATCCATAGTAATCCCAATTTTTTCACTGTTGGGCCATAACTTTTTTTCAGCTTATAATCCCAGTTTATAATCCAGAATAATCCCAGATTATAATCCCAGATTATAATCCCAGTTTATAAATTTCATCCAGAAAGATGGTGTGTTTTCCATCGCAGAAATCTCACACTCCGAGGTCTTGGAGGACGACGCTGTGCCCACCAAGGACTTCACCGAGGCGCCACTTGGGGGCCTCGGTTGACTCCAATTTCACGACGTGGTTGTTTAATATAGTTATAACTATAGTGAATTATAAGATGTTATAAGATGTTATAAGATGTTTTTCTTATAACTATAGTATGATAGTTTTCATGGGGCTTATGTAACTAATTATAGTACTATGGTGTTATATCATAACTATGGTTTTTAATATATAACTATAAGATCTTTTAACTATAGCATTCATGATTTTCATGGGGGTTTATAAAGCAACGTTCACATCACTGGGGGGCCCACATTGTGATTT